GGGGCACCACTAGAATTCTCATTTAATATATGCTTTTCAAATTTAGTTGCTTTAGTACAAAAATTAAAGCACCAAATTTGACCACCAAAACCCCACATTTACATTTTCACATTATACTTACGGTTTTTTCCCCCCTCAACTTTTAATAATTTCAAAGTTCATTAAGATCTATGAAATTATATTTGAGTATGGGTTGATATATCACAACTGGTAATCTTATGAGTATAATCAATACAAACTCATGAGCATATTACGCAGTTGACCATACATTCATAAGGAAATGAAAAACAATCATTTTCCATGTTCGAAAAATATTGGCCGGACCTATTTCCATGTCAAGAATCATTTGCAGGAGGTTCAATTATTCCACACACATGTAGAAATAAAAATGCATAAGAGCAGTCATATGCTTTTTCGCCATTTATGTTACAAAAATGTTTATTACCATCATAAATACATGTAAATAAAAAATAAGTACTTACATATTTGATTAATAAGACAACAAGTCAATCTTACATGTATTGCTAATTAATCAAAATTTCAAATATGGAACGGTTTTGGAGTTATGGCTATAGCATGTAACTTAAAATGAAGTTTTAAAATGAAGTATTTAAATCACACTTGGAACAGTTTTTTTTTTCTCTGATTGAAAAACATAATCGAAAATATTTATTGCCATCATTAACTTGATGCCATCCACCTTAATATTTTAGTACCATGTGTAAGCCAATGAATATTATGTTAATATTCATTATATTCCATGTTTTTGATCATATAAGTTACATTAATATATTGCATGCTAAATAAAATCTAGCTACTTTTTCACGAATTTAGCCCAGAAATTATCACATATATTAGACCAAAGAATCATTAGTCATATTATAATTTAATCGACTAGATTCTTATACAATATGTTTTGATCTTCCATTGTTCATTCAAACCGTATTATATTCATAGACATATCAACATTTCCATACAATTAGCATAAAATTCATGACTCTATTCATGTATTTAAAGATACCATAACCATACCTTTGAGGTTGATCCAAAGTTCATCTTTTCTTAGTCGAAATCTTCATCAAGACATGGAAATTTTCTTTCCATCATCACTTGCACCCTTGATGATAGATTTCCAAATGTCTGCACGTTTCCTTCTACATCCCTAGATAAAAATAATATAAATTATTAATTGTTTCAAAACAAAATATTTATGCCCAAATATTGTTGACTCATTCGTCAACAACCAGAAAAACCAATGGTTGCAGCCAAAGAGGTTTTCTTCAGATTCCTATGTTGGATGAGGTTTTCTTCCGTGTCCAGTGAATGGTCGTAGAACCATTCCTGTTGCCATTACAAATACAACTATTCTGTTTTAAGATTGTTGGTAAATTATATGGAAGTGTTTGTGATAGTAACTACAATTCAAGAAAGAAGGAATTCCGAGACACGTGAAAAAATATTTTCCTTAAAACATATTCGCTCTCTCTCACAGAGTGCTAGAGGATGAATGAGCCTCCGTCTCCCAGGATACAATAGATAACATGATCTAATCTTATACTTAAACTAAATCATCGACGAACTGGAACTTAGACTTTGATGAACACCAAGGAAGGTTAGGAGAATTTTGGCAAATAAAGAATGAAGAAAGTTGGGTTATTTCTCTTGGTTCTTTGGACTTATGGAAAATAAGGTTTAATTTAGAGGGAGGAGAAAACTAAAAATATGGCTGCCAATTTAATTGGATTAAAACCACATATTCATTCCCCTAATAATGAAAATATAAATGGTAGATTAATGTAAAAAAGTTTCAAGTTTTGGGAAATGAATGGGTTGTTTGAAATTCCGATTAAATTGTCCATAACTCTCCATTCAATGTCTGTAAGTTTTTTAACCGGTCGGTAAAACACGGGTTGATCAAGTCCGTGAGTTACTATCCGGCATTTCGTAGGCACACCTACGCTCGATTGACATTTGACAAGTCCAATCAAATGAGAAACCAATTTCTCATTCACCCCTATAACTTAGCTTTTTATTTTTTCCAACATCTCCCACCACCGCATCAACACCTCCCACAGCCAACATCAACCCCAGACAAACAACCATTACCTCCATGAATAGAAACATGTCGCACTGTCAACATTAAACTTCATTCGATAAACAAAATAGCCAAAATATCCATCGATTTCACTCTCAAAATTACAAAAAAAAATCAAACCAAACAAGGATTCATTTCGGGAATCCAACAATGACTACTATTTCTTACAAATGAATCTGATCAGTTACTATGGTTTTTTTTTTAAAGAAAAATAAAAGAATTTGAAGATTAATTTATTCTTCCCAAATTTTGGGATTCATTTTTTTGGGGTGGTGGGTTTCGTAACAGATCTGGATGTACAGTGGATTATGGAGAAGATGATAATGGTGATGAGTGGTAATTGGTGGAGGAGATGGTTATCGTTGAAGAAGATGGATGGTAGTGGTGGACCTGGGGGAGTTGGTTCTTGGAGTTGGTGGGGAAACCATGGAAAGGGGTACGAGGGAGGTCAACATGGGATATGTTTGTACCAACCCCTAAATATACTCGGTTGTAACACCTTATAAACACAATCAAACAAAATAATGTCAATAAACAACATTGATACGTTTCTAATTAACAAAGGAAGAGGTGCAAAGAGATGCAAAATGGTACCAGGCAGTGAAGCTCTCCAAATATTAGTCTTCATCAATTTTGAAAATGAAATCTTTAAAGGCGGTTGGAAACTCAAAATTAGGTTTTTCAAGTATCATTATCACCCACTTTTCCTTGATCATCAAAAGAACCTTTTCAGCAAGAGAGGCCTTTCGAAGTTTTCCAAGAAATGCTTCTCGCCATTGCACCTCCTCTTTGATCTTTAAAAATATTTTATTTGAATTCAAAACCTCACCAGAATTGGATCCTTCTCCAACAAAAGATGCCGCTTTCTTAAGAACTTATGGTGAAGGATCAAGTTCATGGTGAGGTTTTAAATTCAGATCAAATACTTTTAAAATCAAAAGGAGGTGAAACAACGAGAAGTCTCTTGTTGAAAAAGGTCCTTTTAATGAAGGAAAAGTGGTGGGTGATTATGATGAACTCGAAAAAATTAGTTTGAGTTTAGCAGAAATCTCCTAGTCAGGTTTGATATTCTCATAGTTGTTCTCTTCATATCAACCCTGTACTAAAAAGATTGGTAGAATTCCACAAACATCAGAACAATAAAACAAGTGTTTTAGCAGTGGGAGGAATTTCACAACAGGCAGTAGGGAAAAAACAAGCACTGCAATAGTGCAGTAGTGACACCAATGATACAATTATCAACATATAAGGCAAAACCTTTTGACTGGAATTTCTCTACATAAAGGAACAAAGAGAATACAACGTATCAAAACTAGCTGATCTATATTTTATTATAATCTCCATTTGCAGTAGTAATTTGGAGATGGAGTTACTGGCCAAAGAATAAATAGCAAATAGGTAGTAGCATCACCATTTCTAATCGCATCAAGAACACTTTTCTGGATAGAAAATAGAGGAAACATAAGATTAGACGTTAGTTCAGGAAATGTCAAAAACAGAAGTTGGAAATCATGCCAAAAACCCACTAAAAATTTTAAAATCAAGAACCAAAATGGGAGTTCATTGTTGTAAGAGTTCGTTACCTAGATTGAGCTCGAGTACCCTGAATAACTGTTCAATTGGTTTGGACATTGGGTAATTTGGAGTATCGAGGGTGCAAATCCCTGAAACTTGAGAGGCGAGTGAATAGTAGTAACGATCTTGGGAAAATTTTGAAGAAAATGAAGGAGAAGGGGGAGAAGATTTCAGATCTATAAATTCCTAACGGGAGGATGAGAAGAACGGAGGAGAAAATGGAAATTGGAGAGAGAATTTCAGAATTGTTCTAGCAGAGTAAAACGGTCTACTAATTTCTAGGTGACTCATACTAAAAATAATACAAATCTCAAAACTCAATGTGAAATATTTTTTTAGAGGTGGAGTATATATATATATATATTCATTAGTTTAATCTAATAAAGTAAATAACGTTTCTTGGAAGCTCTTTGACAACATATCAAATATAAGTTCTCTAGTTGTAGTAGAATGATTTATTTTGAATTAGTTTCCTCCTTACTCTTGTCAATCAACATGACTTTGGATATTTAAAAAAAATGTCAAAATCCTTTTCTTTTTTTTTTTTGGTGCCAAAAAGAATAAAAAACGGCAAAATCATCAAAGACAAACTAGAAAAGATTTTTGACTTGGATCAGAATAATAAAATTGATCCCAACACAACTTACTTACCCCTTTTCAGCTAGTAGGTTTGAAACAATTTCTGAAATCAACCTATCCAATTTCTAGTAGCCTAATCAATGTTCCATTCCTACTATTTTACAAACACACGTGCACACACACATGCACACAAATTAAAAAAAACACAATAACATTTCCATCATATTTGTTGATTAATTCAAAATCACAAAACAACTCTAACCTCTAGATAATACTTTGGAATTTTGAAATGCAATATGACTCTTTATCATCTTTCTTTATTATCCTTTTAGCTACAAAACATGACAAGAAAATATTATTATATTTAATAAACCATTGATCAAGGGAAAGATACGAAAACCATAATTAAATTTCTTTTAGATGAATCCTAAATTTCAAACATATTTAGCCATGGAAGATATCCAAACAGAATAAATGTTGCAATTACTTTCGCAAATGATTTTACATTTCCTAGTTAGTATATTCTATTTCAAAAAGTTATTGCTTTCTTATTACTGGGACTTGATTTATCTTTTGAAGCAAATTTTATAATTTATAGTTTCAAGAGATTGTTTTTCTTTTTATAAACTAATAACAATTGAGATCGATATTGATCTAACATTAGAAATAGTTTGAACCGATGTTGATAGTCTCAACAGAGTACACAAACTAAGGATAGTTAATTAAAAAAATACTAATATCTCCAACAAGATTATACAACACAAAGAGTGATACTAATCTTCGTCTCCTTCTCCATCTTCTTCCCCATCTCCTTCTCCATCTCTTTCTCCATCTTCTTCCCATATGCTGCTCGATCTTCACTGTCTTCTTCAGACTCTGGAGGAAAAGACTCTCGGATCTTTCTTATACTAGTATGACACATCTTGTGCCTGTGAACAAATGTGTCGTACTCAGTATTATAAAACATATAAATGTCATTATTCGACACCTTTGGGAATGGTAAAACTGCAATATCCTGCGCTCCAACAATTTTGTCTCGCAATTGATCTTCATCCAATGATAGATCATCAAAAGCATCGCTTGCAAATTGCGTCACTTTTTCCCGTGCATTCCTCAATCGGTTGGCCCTCATATAGTAATCGAAAAAGTCATCCTCCATTTTGCACACATTCGGTGTAGTTAAAACACCCTGGTTGGGCTCACCGAATGGGATAGTAAAAGTTGAATTGGCATTGAAGAAAGAATCAATCCTCTCACGAAGTTCATTAGGTAGATTCACATCAAGAAGGGGATTGGGAGATTAGGTTGATTTGCCATACTTAAGCACATGGCAAGAATCTTCAACAGATCTAATTTCAAGAGATTGCTTTTGATTTGGAAAACTTTAGAAATTTGATTTTTTACATACATGCATATATCATTTATAATCATTTTTATAGTACCACATTCAAAATTCAAAATTTTAGGAGACTTTGTAGGGATTTGGTTTATGATGGTGATTATATTTATAATAAAAGTTTTTTTTTTTCTAACATAGTTTCTTTTGAAGGATAAATCCATAAAATGGTCTATTAGTTTTGCCTTTATCTTGTTTAATCCATTAACCAAAAAATATGTGTAGATCTTTGCGTATTGTTTAAATTAAAATTTAGCAATGAAACAATATTCTATAAAGCAATGATACAAAAAAAAAGAACATAAGAAAATAAACCTTCACTTACGGTACCATTGATATAAATAGAATTGATGGACAAAACCTAGATAGAAATCATATTTTCCCGATTGTCAAACTAAAGGATTATAAGATGATGAATACTTTCATATTATCCTAATCAACTTAATGAGCACAGTTTAAAATATTTTTCATAATATTTATAAAGTAATAAGAAACTAATTTCTACTCACTAAAGAAGTACAAATTTTCTGTACATTTGTTTTCTAAATTTTCATCTACTTTGGTGCATATCTGTTCTCCAAGCCTTTGCAATGCATCAATGGATCAACAGATCAACATAGAGCATGGCACATTTGATTTCCATACAACATGGAACATTTTATCTCCATCCAATCTTAGGGCATTCTACATAAAGAATCCACATCCAGAGAAAAAGAAAACTCGTTAAACAACTCAAACTGTAAATTTTCTAAACATGAATTATATGACGATCAGTAAAGAAGAAAAATAGAGACCTCCACAGTACAATCCTTTCATGTCACCTTTAGGATGTGATCGTGGCTGCGAACATAGTGCATCAGCCTGGGAAGTGGTGGCTTAGCATTGGACGGAGGCTTACGGATTATGTTGAATCAAATTTTCCATCGTTCTTCTATCTTTCTGGTCCAAAATAAATGGTACACAATTCGTAGAATCAAAACCAAATACTTAATTACATTTAACCAACCCTCCCAAATTGCAACTTCAGAAACCACTATTATATCTATAATCTTGTGATTTCATAGGTAGAAAGTCAAGTTTATTCGAGCCACCAGTTACACAGTTACACGCACTGACACACTTAAAGTGGAGAATTCCACATATTTGTTCAATAATTTTATAAAATCCTATAAATTTCAGATTATCGATATCTTTTCTTCTTTTTTTTTTTAATTAAAGTCAAGTACAACATGTGGACGTAAGATCACAATATCAATAAACAACAAATCTTAAGACATTTAAAAATCAAAACTCAAAATAGAAACATATAATCAAAGCAAAATACAATTGGAATCAATCTCATATAAATATATTTTATCCAACAACATGAGATTTCTTCACCATTTCGGTCGTTGTGATATAGAGATATACTGATTCTTGTCGCCTGTGATTTACTGTCATCACCAAAGTTAGCACACCTTTGGTTCAATCTTATCATTCACATATATAATACTTGAGAGAAGCTGTAGAAAAATAGAGCGGATGAGAAGAGGAGGAAGAAGAAAAAAAATAAAAATCCGTAGCAATATATAGTCACAAAAAAAATTGATTTGGAGTTCTATTAATCAGATAAGTTGAATAAGCGATCGAGGCATGATTCTGGCTAGTTGGTAGTGGTGGCGACTCAAGGACAAAAGCAAAGTGAGGTGGCATCAGTGCTGATCAACTCGATGACCAAACTAGAGCGAGAATAGAATATGACCATCTGCACAAAAACTATATTATTTGATGAGCACCGAGTCGTGGAATATTTTATATTCCGAGAGTTTAGCCAAATTCCTAGAATAATGACAGAGAAAAAAGATAAGGACGGATAAAAGAGATTGAGGAACGACCAAAGAGAATAATAATGGAGAGAAAAGATACATTAGCATTAGTTAATTGTACAATGAAAGGAAAAGATAAGTTTTTTGTATTTAAAAAAAAGATAAGATTTATTCGAGCAGATGTCAATACATGGGTACAACAATGAGCAGATGTCAATATAGATGGCTTAGCCCTAGGGCAACCTGGAGAAGCAGGTTGGGGATACGTGCTCAGAGGAATAAATGGTAGTTTTATTCGAGCAGAATGTCAATACATGGTACAACAACAAGTTTAGAAGCAGAAATAGCTACCATTCTCAATGGTCTTCAATATTGCTTGGAAAAACGAATACCTCGAGTGGTGGTACAAACGGATAATCAGGCTATAGTCAACCTCATTCATCAGAAAAAGTGTTTTCCATGGAGATATCACTTCAATCTAGCGGAAATCAAGCGCATGTTGCTTCTCTCAAACTCAAAAATCATTCATGTGTATAGAAAAGTTAACAGTATGGCTAATGAACTTGCCAAAGAAGCGTCAAAAGGGTCATCCATACAGTATGTCATTCGGGACCAACTCCCAGCTTCATTACTAGGAAAATGGTACTTAGATAAGTGCTCTTTCCCTTAGATAAGTGCTCTTTCCCTTATCTAATGGTTAAATAGAATTTTGTTTTATTGTCTTCTCACCTAGATGGAGATGTCAAGGGATTTATGTAGAATCTTTGTAAGATATACTCCTAGGCAATAGACTTAGGAACAAAGAACTGCCATGGGATATTGTACTATCTTTGTAATGCAGTCTCTTAGTTGTAATTGCATAGAAACCGTCAAGAGTTTTTTTGAAAAACTTTGTAAGACAGTTTCTTTTCCGTTTGGTTAAGTCTTAAGCACTGCCTTGTGTAATTTTTCTTTTTATATTAATAAACTCGGGGTCCTCCCGCCAGGTACCGCTCTGGATGTCCCAAAAAAAAAGACAAAAAAGAAAAGATTTGAGTTTGACTCTATGAGATCATATTTGATTTTGTTTGCATTCAATTATAAGATAATATAGAAACTAATTTCACAAAATTATGGGATAAGAAAGAGAAAGATATTAACTCATCGTGATTATTAATATCTATCTTTTGAAATTTGAAAAGAGATCATGAGAAAAATTATTAATATTAACTCACCGTTTGAAATATGAAAAGAGATCATAAAATAATCTTATTCACTTTTACTACAATTAATGTTATGTGTAATTGACCATAAGTAAAATTTTAGAGCAGAGAAAAAAATTGAATCGGCAGTGCAAAGTCGCCACCGGTTCTGGGATATACTCACAAGCAGCGCCGACGATGAACTCCATTAAGCCCTCTTATGTATTCGTATCAATTGTTGGCTGAACAAAACAGGATTCTAAAAGCAGGAGAAAGGAAGTTAGAGAAAGAATTGGCCTGCCTTACCGGGTATGATGGCTCAATTGAGAGGCTATGTCGTCCAGTCCGTCCGCCATATTTTCGCCTTTGCCCTCAACCGTCGACTAATTCCAGTGGAGGAGAATGATGGATTTGCTATAAGTTTCATCAGGGTTTAGGGAACGTGGCTGGAGAATATGCCGGTGATGTTTTCAGCGGCAATGAAGATTATACTCGATATATATATATATTCTCCAAAAATTTTAGTCGTAGTAGCCATCTACGCAATGTCCAGAGATTACAGTATATATATTCTCTAGAAATTTTAGTCGTACGTAGTAGCGGTCTATGCCATGTCTGTAGATTAAAGTCGTCGGAATTAATCCGGTGATGATTGTCCGGAGATTATCCTGTGATGATTTCGATTATAATTTGTCACATTAATTAACCGATGATGGGTGAAAGTTAATTTAATAAATATAACAATTATAATTTTATAAAGTTCAGTAAATAAACAAGCCAATAAGAAGTTGACACGTGTTTAGAAAACTTATTGATGGTCTAATTAACTTACACGTATCTCTGAAAAATAATTCTTTTAATATATTAGTGTTTGTCCCGCACATTGTGCGAGTTGTTCAAGATATATATATATATATATATATATATGAAAATTTAATGATTATATGTCATTTGCGATAGGGTGATATATGTAAAAAATAATATTAATTATGTAAATTGAAATTGTGTATTTTTTAATGATATTGTGTTTTGTTATTTTAAGTAGATTTGCAATGATTTTCAATGTTTGGGATCATCCAATGTAACTGGTTGTCCATCTTTTTCATGTTGTTGATTTATAGCTTTATATCTTTTAAATATATTCTCATAAATTTTCATAATGATCTCTCTAAGTATTGCAACCTGTGTCATATGTTTTAAACTCTTCCTCCAACATTTTTCATTATTATTATTAATTTTTTGTAGGAAAATCCAGGGCGGTACCTGGCGGGAGGACCCCGATTTTTTATTAATATAAAAGGAAAAAATTACACAAGGGAGTGTTTAAGACTTACCCAAGCAAAAAGGAGAATGTCTTACAAAAGTTTGTCTAAAGACTCCTGACGACTCCTGTACAATTGCAACTAAGAATTGTCTTACAAAGATAACATAGTATCCCATGACAATTCTTTTCAGCTTACAGTTTAATTCCTAGGAGGATGTCTTACAAAGATTCCACATTAATCCCATGACATCTCCATCTAGTTTATAAAACAATAAAAAGAGACGAAAATCTATCTAATTCTTACATAAGGAATAGAACACTTATCAAGGTACCATTACCAATGAGGCTGGAAGCTGCTCCCTAGAGTCATACCGAATAGATGATCCATGTGATTCCATTTTTGCAAGCTCATCTGCCATGATGTTGACTTCTCTGAAGATATGAATGATTTTTGAATTGGATAGAAGTATCATACGATGAATTTCCTTGAGGTTATTGTGATGCTTCCACGGG